CAGCCTCTGCCGGACTGGGCTCCCCTGCTGCCCTCCTGCAATCAGCACAGGCCACGCCGAGACCCAGATCCACACACACACAGATCTGCACCCACACACCCATCATCCCCCCCACCCACACCCACACGCATGCCCAGAGTAACCCCTAGACACACACACGGAAACACATGTGTGCAAATGCAGAGACACACGCCTGCAAATGCCCGTGACCAAGCACACGGATCCGGAGACGCGCTGACAAAGGCGCCCACCCACCCACGGGGCGTCTCAGCCTTGTGCTCTGAGTCTGATTCACGTGCCCCTGCTCTGCGCGGGTGCATGGAAAGGGGGGGCTTGCAGAGATGGGGCAGCGCCCCAATGGGGAGGCCAGCTCAGTGGCCGTACCCACAGTCTCCTGCACCCCCTCCCCATCTCCCACCTCTGCACTCCCTCTGCTAACCCTCCTTCGGCCCAGGCACCAGTGCTGAGCTCCAGAGCCCGGCACGGTCCGGATCGGCTCCCCGTGGCGCCTGGCCGTGGTGCCGGGCCCGGCACGGTCCGGATCGGCTCCCCGTGGCGCCTGGCCGTGGTGCCGGGCCTGGCACGGTCCGGATCGGCTTCCCACGGTGCCAGGCCTGGCACGGTGCAGTTGGGATCCCAGTGGCACCTGGCCGTGGTGCCAGGCCCACGATCGCCGAGGAGGCAAAGCCGCACTGTGGCCGGTTCCCCCACGACCGCCCAGGCGCTGACTTCCTGGCACGCGAGGCCTGGTCTGAAAGTGCCGAGCCACTGGCAGGAATCCAGCTGCCCTGCCCTCCCCGAATCCGGCTCCTCACCCCCGCGGGCTTTACAGGACGTCTGTAAGAACTTGCCCCCCTCGCCAGGGGAGAGCCGGGGTGGCCAGGGCGGAAGGCAGCCCCGGCCTGGGAAAGGGAAGAGCCAGGAGTGAGATAAAACCAGGCGAGCAGGCCCAGGACGCCCCCCAATACAGGGCCAGCCCTTGCCCCAGGCCCCAGCCAGGTGAGAGAGATTCCTGCGCGGCGCAGCCCAGCGAGCCAGGCCGCGCCGGGGGCTGCAGGCTCCGGGTCCCGCGCCTGGCCCCGCGTTCCTGCTTTCCCAGCCAGCCCGGGGCCAGCCGTCGAGGTGGGTGTTCTGGGCGTTTGTTATGACTTGGAAGCCGATAATGGCCGAGCTCCTGGCCAGCCCGCTCCCAGGCCCGCTCGGGCTGTGTGTGTGTGTGGGGGGGTTGTTTTGACATCGCGCAGAGCGGGGTTTGCTTTGGGGCCGGGCCAGGCGGTGGCACAGTGAGGCGTATGCTCTGGCCCCGGTGCGCCCCCCCCCGGCCCGAACGCCACGGCTGCGGCACGGGTTAATTACCAGCCATTTCTGCTGACGGGCGAGTCTGCTCACGGGACATGTCCCAGGCAGCTGCTCCAGGGTGGCGGACGGGGTGTGTGTGTGTCTCCCCTCCACTCCGGCACAGCGAGATCTCCCCAGCCTGGCCTCCATGTTCCCCCCGAACCGTTGTCACGCACCAGATTGAACCTCACACCCTAGAGGGGAATCTCCCATCCGGTGCGAGCTGTGCAGGGGCTAGGACACACGGCTCGGCCTGCAATGGAATCCCCAAGCACAAGGGCAGAGGTGT